GGAGAGAGTCAGGCCTGACCATGAAATTCAGCCTGAACCCGTCTCCCAGGAGGCTTTTCTGCTGTTCCCTGGGACCGTGCCAGCCGACTTTGGGAGAGGTGTCATCAGCTTCTCCAAGGCCCAGTCCCTGGAGCCTCGGAGCAGCCAACTGACTCTGGCGTCTCCTTCTCATCATGCTTTAAGGCGATGCCAGGGGGCTCCACCCTCATCCTGCTGGGAGATGGAGCAGCCACTGTCACAGGCTTCCTCCTTCTCAACACAGGTCCAGAGCATGGGGCCTCTGACACACCGCCAGAGGGTTGCTGCATCACAACCCTCTGGGGGTCGTGTGTGGATTCACACCACACTGCTTGGGCGTCTCAAGCCCGGGGCGAGACTCCAGACTGCGATACTGACGCGTCACAAGCTGTTGCCATCATCTTTCAGCCTCCATGTTCACCTTTGTAAGGACAGGAGTGGCCCAGGGCACCTCACACAGGACTGCCTCCCCCCACCACCCCCCCAGGACCACTTGGCCATCCCGGGGACCCAGTGCCTGTAAAGATTAGCTCTACAACCGTGGAGAGCGGGAGCAGAGCTAGGAAAGCGGCCCTGCCCTCTGGCACCTCTGATACTCCTTCTGTTTGATTGACTTCAGATGAGAGTAAATCTGTGTGCGTGTGAGTCTGCAGGGTCCAGGAGGGAGTGCAGGAATGGACATGGCAGGAGGAATGGACCAGGTCTTTACCCCCCAAGACCATTGACCAGCTGAGGGTTGGTCCTGCTTTGTGGAGGCTTTGGTCAGGAGAAGCTGGGAGAAGTCATCTGGGAGAAGTCCCAGAAAAATGTTCACTTCACCCCACTACCCTCAGCCCAGGCCCAGGCAAATGCCCTCCATGGTTGCAGAGCTAAGCTTGGCTAGAGCAGAAGTCCCAGCCACCAACCTGTCTTATCCCACACGCCCACGAACTTCTTCCCAATCTCTGTAGTGTCCCATCTCAGATCTCGGGTAGCAGGGTCCCTTTATCATCATGCATTTTGATTTTTCCTCTCCCTCTCCCTCATGCCCTTGACCAGTCCCTCTTCCTTTTGCTCCCTTCAGCAAGATGGCCTTGGGAGCTGTTGACCTGCCTTTGACCTACAGCCCTCTGGGTCAACCATCCTCAGCCTCACTCCCCAGAGGAAGCCAGAACACTCCAGTAACCTGCCCCAAGGCGGAAGTACAGTTACAGTAATGACAGCCTTTTGTGGTTCTAACTCAGGGGTCAGCAGCCGGAATGGCCCACGGGTCAAATCCAGCCCGCCCTTCTCTAAGTGAAATTTTGTTGAAACACAGTCACACCCATTCATTTGCACGGTGCCTGGGCTACTGTGTGCTTCAATGGCAGAGTTGAGTAGTGGTGACAGAGCCTACGAGGTCGGCAAAAAGCCTACGATGTTCACTCTCCAGCTATTTACAGAAAACAATTTCAGCTTCTGACCTAGACTATCCCGGCCTGGTCTGAAGTCTTGTTGGAATGAGGTCCTGTGATTGTGTCCGAGGAAGTGGCTTTCTTTCTTCCTTCCTTCCTTCCTTCCTTCCTTCCTTCCTTCCTTCCTTCCTTCCTTCCTTTCTTTTTCTTTCTCTCTCTCTCTCTCTCTCTCTCTCTCTCTCTCTCTCTCTCTCTCTTTAATATATTTTATTGATTTTTTTTACAGAGAGGAAGAGAGAGGGATAGAGAGTTAGAAACATTGATCAGCTGCCTCTTGCACACCCCCCACTGGGGATGTGCCCGCAACAAAGGTACATGCCCCTGACCGGAATGGAACCTGGGATCCTTCTGTCCACTGAGCCACTGCGTGTTTTCTTGAGCCTTTGGAAGACATCAGTGAGTGCCTTACCACACAGTTAGTAGTAAAAGAAGACACAATTGCCATCTTGCACCCACAAAACAGCACAGTCACCCCAATAGTGAAGAGGATATTCTTGCTCCAGGAGAGTGAGCTGGGGGTGGGATGGGGCAACAATTCCCCAATTTTCTCACCACTACTCTCAGTGAGAGCCTCTTGGTGCCACTGGGACAGAAACAAAAGTGTCCTCAGTAGCACAAATCTGTGACTTTTGTCTAAAGTAAGGCACCTTGACTGGTGTAATACTAGATCTCTCTACCCTTTGGCGACCAGGTCTCATCAAGGATTCAGGACTTCTACTTGCTCCCTGTTCCTCTCATCTCACAATGCAACTATGAGAGTCCTGAATGGTCAACCCTTCCACACACACAGGACTGGCCATTTAGTGGTAGGGCCGTTTTCATTGCAGGCTTGATGATAATATTGTTGACGAATAAAAAATAAAAAATAAAAAGCTGCAGAGAAGTTTTATAAGTTTACTTGAGCCAAACTGACAATTGCTGGGAAGCAAAATCTCAACAGACTGAGAAAATGCTCTGGAGAACGGCAGTTTTATAGCTTATTTTGATCCAGTAGAATCCAAGGGGGAAATGTAAGGGGAAGTTACAGGAAATCCACTGGTGGTAGATTAGGGAGGTGGGAGGAAGCAAAACAGGGAAATCTCTGAGACTGGACAGAGAGAAAAGCAGAGAGACGCATATGTCTTTCACATTGGTGGGTACAGGATAGCTAACAACCAAGATTTACAGCACATGGGAATCATATTTGGGGAACAAGGTAACAATGAGAGGTTCTGATGCGGTGAGTCCAGAAAGAAGGGATTTCTCTGACATTCAAGGGTATATTATCTTAAATGCAAAAAGCTCCGTTAGGATTGACCTTTGTCAAAGAAGTTGCAGGCCGAGGGCCTGACAACCTGCCATGACCCACTCTTAGTTGGGGATTTTTATGTTCAGATCATTATCCTCTGTGGTTACTTTTGGTCTTTGAGTTTGTAGGACCTGCCATGCTGGCCTCCCTTGAACTTGTCAGGGTTAGTATGTGGCTCCTTTTTCATCCACAATATTAATAACTAGAGGCCCAATGCATGAAATTCGTGCAAGGGGCTCGGCCCTCGCAGCCACAGCAGCTGCCTTGGCTTCAGCCCCTGCAGCCGTGGCTTTATCCGGAAAGTTTCCCTGTCTAATTAGAAGACACAATTGCTTTTATTATTATTATAGATGATATAATTACTACTACTACTATTCTCTCACACATGGAACTTACTGTGCCAGAAATCACGTACTTTACCTCATGACTCGAGCACTGCCAGATTCCGCCCATCACTCTGTCACATCAAGCCACGCCCCCTCCTCAGTGACTACCCCCATGGTTGCTCCCACTCTGCCCTGTATCTGACAACAGAATCCCGATCAACTGGGCCTCCTACTAGTCCTGCTCGGGAAGCATCTCTGAGGCACTGCCATATTTAGATGTCTTGGGGGCCTCACCCATACTATTTTGAAACCACACCATAACTTACCATGGACCCTCATTATCACTGCTCTGGAATTTGCTTCTGAGCTGCTACACCCCCTGCACATTCAGTGCTAAGAGCATTATGGTCGACGAGCCTTCCCTGGGGCTGCACTCTCTTTAGCATCCTTGACCTTGATGGGAACTGTTAGTCTCTGGGTCCTTGGGAGAAGCCTCGCTGCTCCTTTCTGATAAGTAGTGTCTTTAGGATGACGACTCTGCTGCTGTGGCTGCTGCTCCGCAGACTCCTGGGAGGCATTGCTTTATTTGTTTATTCAAAGAACAGTGCCCAGCACCTTCTGTGTGGACAGAGTGGACAGGACAAAGTCCAGACCTCAGAGAGGCTGTGGGCTAGGTAAGGGAGAGACCTAAACACACGGGAGGCATGGAGCACTGGGTGCAGTGGGAACTTGGACTTGGGAAATGATGGCTCAGGAGGACTTCCCACCGGGCTAACATTGAGAGGCATTTTAAAGGATGAGCAGGAACCAGGCAAAGAGATGGAGGCTAGGGGTAGAGTTACAGGCAGGAGGAGCAGCAATTTATACATTGACTGAAGGCATAGGAGACAGCAGGAAAAAAAAAGTTTCTCTCTGTTTTCCTTGACTTATGGCACCCACAGATGCACCCACAGTGCCCAAGACTCTGAAGCTGAGCATTACAGGTGACAGTGTCCCCCAGGGGAACACAGACCCCTGGGTTGTACCGTGTGGAGCTGTTCCTTCCTCCTCCTACTGCCCCTGACACAGACTGTGGGTCCACCTGATCCTAGCACGGGTTGGCCCTTCCGTTAACCAAGGGGCATTTCCCTAAACCACTCTGATGAGTTTCACTAGCTTAACGTAAGGAAACGAGTCTTAAAATGCCCCTTGTCACGTCTTCCGAGGCTCCATAGCATCCAAACCCCCCTTCCCCCAACTGTATTGAACTAGAATAATCCCAATTCCCCGTCACCCCACCACCAGCACCAACTATGGCACCCTCGGTCATGTTCACTAGACTCTGCTGGTCTTTCAGTATTCTAGCACATCATTGGAACACAACTAACGCAACTGGTTGAAAATGATAACTTGTCCTGTCATCGCATAGTTTTCACTTGAGAAAGCTTTAAAGAAGACCGAGACCCCTGTCCCAGTTCTCAGAGAGAAAGAGAGAAACATCGAAAACATTAATCTGGAGTATGCTGCTTGGCTTTATGGTTTCGTGAATTTTTTTTTTTTTTTCAATGGATGCCAGCAACATCTGGAACTGGGAGTGTGTCTTGTCACATTGCAATAAAAGGAGGTTCCCTTGGCTGGGTTTCCCTGCAGGAGGTGGAGCAACAGAGGGTGCAAGGGTGTCCGAGGGCAGGGCCTGTGGTTTTGTCTAAGGACGGAGCAGCCATTCCTTCGGCTTAGCACAGGACCCAGCAAGTAGAGAATTGCCACCAAGAGCAGGTCCTTTGCTCTGTTCTGTCCTTTCACCAGCCAGTTCCCTTCTTCCTTCACCTCCCACTCCTTTACTGCTAGGCTCTTAGAGCTCTTCTGCTCTGAGCCAGGATGTTAACTCTTAACTCTAAATCTATGCCCCAACCTTCTCCCATAAAAAGATTTCTTGACTACCACTATTTACAAAACACACACACACACACACACACACACACACACACACAAAAAAAAAATCTTCACGAAAACACGCACCAGACAACCCTAATGTGCCGAGGGACAAATGCAGGAAATGTCGGAGTGAAATCAGTTTTAAGACAATAGGGCAAGGGTGACTTCTTTTCCTGCCATAAAAATTCCTTTACAGTGATTATGATCATATTTTGTTAATAAAACTGATATATTTTTATTTCTTTCTCTTTCCCTCCAGATTGTTGAGTCGACTATATTGCCAATCTTTGATACATTAGGTTAGGGTTACATGCTCTTTGCTTAAAGCTTACTACTCCCAAAGCAACTATTCTCGGAAGATGGAATCCTGGAGTTGACTGATCACCAAATGCTGTTTCTCCGCTGTCATCGCAGTAGCACAGCTGAGAGTGTAGGGCAGGGGTAGGTGTAGATTCCCGGAACCTTAACAGTGGGAAAGATCTTACTTCTTCCAAATGGTGGAATTCTCCCCCAAAACACCCACAGCTGCTTGATTGCTTCCAGGGATGGGAACTCACTCCTGTGAGAAGGCAGGTCAGCCTTCTGATGGTATTGTTAGCAAGGTCTCTTTGGTTTTGCGGAAAGAAAATCTGCCTTCCTGAAAATTCCTTTTACCAAAGCAGGTTAGATTCTCTGTAGCTGAAATAAGTGTAATCCCTTTCCATGTGATCGTAGGTTAAATATTTAAGAGTAGTCACCACTACTCCAAGGTTTTTCCTCTCTAAGCAAAATAAAATCCTAAAATCCCTTCATCTCTTTCTGGTCTGACTCATACTCAGTCGATCTGCCTCTAGGAGTTTTCTCTAGTTGGTCAACATCCTCTTCAAATCTGGTGTCCAAATTTAGGCTTGAACTCCAGGTACATTCTAGACATGCGCAAAATAGAGTGTGAGTCTTACAGCTCTTTTAGCTGCCCTAGGAGGCCATTTCCTCATGTTGAACTTGGAGTAAATATTCATTTCTTCCTCCTGTCTCTGCCTCTCCCCAGCCCTTATCCCAAAGGTCCCATTTCCTAATACCATCACATTGGGCGTTAGGGTTCCAACATGGGAATTTTGGAGGGACACAAACATTCAGTTCATAACACTGCATTTCCCTCTCCCCCAACCCCTGGCAACCCCCATTCATTCTACTTTGTGTTTGTGACTCTGACTGGAGACCTCAGGCTTGTGCACTCATCCAGTGCTTGTCTCCTTGTGACTGGCTGGCTTCACTTAGCATAATGTGCCATGGGTTCATCTGTGTTGTCTCATGCATCAGGATTTCCTTCCCTTTGAAAGCTGAATAACATTCCATTCGATGTATATACCACTTCTGCTTATCTAATCATCTGTCGATGAACACTTGTGTTGTTTCCACCTTCTGGAGAAGTTTTGAATTAGCATATATTCGCCCTAGTCCTTAGTCTACTTGACCTTTGTTAACAACACATAGCACATATCCAACAGACCCTTGGTAAGAATTCACTAAAATCCCATGGTAATCTTTCACTTACTGTGCTCATTTGCTGAATCTGGGTGTGTCAATCTTCAGTATTGAAGATTGAATTCTCTTGTCCAGATGAGTCTCTCTTTCATCAGCATGCCAGTGCTGACGTGAGGAAACCTCTGGGAGTGTTCTCACCTTAACCCTTGCTCTTCCACACCAATTTCTTTGAAGAACTGGTAGACACTTTTCTGATTAGGTCTTTCTGGATCAAATTATTCCCCCTTTCCACTGAGAGTTGGCAGGCTCTGTTATAGTTCAGAGTTGAAATGCGAGGATTTCTTCCTCGCCAACGTGAAATATGTCTTAGTATATTTCCTTTTAATTAACTGACTTGGGGTATTTTTATTTCTCTGGATGAGTCCTTCTCATCAAGAGGCGTTGATGATTCACTTGGGAGAGCAAACTGAAAATTTATGTTGCTCACAAATGTTTGACAAGAAGCCATTTCATACTCCGGGATAGGAAGTCATAGGCTTGCCATATGGATGGTCTATTTGAGGCCTTTGGTTCTGAAATAAAGATGCATCCAGTTGGGTGTTGGTGTGAGCAGCATTTATCTCCATGCCACAAGGTGAGACCATGGGCGAGCTTATCCCTGTAGACCCCTGCAAGCCACTCCTGGCTGGATTGGTGGCCTGTGTGAGAGTCATACGTTCACCGCAAACAGGCCAAGTTGGCTTGGATTTTCAGTTCTCAGCTTCTTTGGGGCTTTATGCCATCCTACAAGAATGTAAATTCTAAATTCTATGATAATAGAAGCTTATATAATTCCAAACACGAGCGCACATGTCATATTTCACTGGCCTAAGTTTAATTGGAGTACCTAGCAATTTTGAATTGCATGACTAAACCAGTTGTCCTGCTATGACCCTACCCCTCACAGTCCTCTGTGTGGATAGAGGGCAAGAGTTTCCTCCTCTGAGTAGGGAGGAAATGCAGATATTCTGGAAGAAGCAAGGGCTTTTTACAAATAGAAAGAGACAAAAGGAAGAATTGTACAAGGGTCCCCTAGAGCAGTGGTCACCAACCAGTGGTCTGTGGGCCATTGGTGGTCCGTGAGGTCTGAGAGGTTGGCAACCACTGGCTTAAGGAGACCTTTGGAGCAGCGGTCGCCCATCGGAGGTCCATTGTCTGCTACTCTAGAGGACTCAGCTGCCCAGGAAGGTCTGGGAATGCCTGAGGCTACCATCGCTGCCAGGCAAGAGTACAAAGAATGAACTATGACTGCAAGTGTCTGAAGGACTTGATTTAGAAACCATTGGAGGGGAGAATCCAAGATGGCTGCTCGGGTAGGCAACTAGCCACAGCCACACACAACAATTTCAACAAAATACAACTAAAATATAAAATGGACATTACCTAGAAACCATTGGAAAGGTCAGAATTGATTTACTGGGGCCGAGACTGCCACGCCCAAGAGGGGTGAGGGGTCTGGCATACAGAGAACGTGGGGAGGATGCTCAGCCCACGGCTTGTTTGTCTTGGCACAGCAGCATCTTTCCTAAAGACTTCAGAGTCTCCATCTTTGTATATGTAGGGGCTATGCTAATGGCTCCTCCCAGATTATGGGTCAGCTGCAGGGTCACCCAATGCCTATCCTAAAAGGATTAGAGAAGTGGGCCTGATTCAGGGTATACTCCAGATAGGATGCAGGCTGTACCAGTAAGCAAGAGCCTGGTCTGTGTCCAGACCTCAGACCCATATCACATGCCCAGTTCAGTTGGTTTTCGAGCAGGGTTTGTCTTTTCTGGGCCTTCTTCTCTAAGACTAACCCCTCACCCGTGGGCTTTCTCTCTCACTGGTTATTTTCTTATAGAGCAACACTTTTAATCTATGAATGAGCAGAAGGGGGGCCTGACTCCCTCATGACTCGAATCCATCTTGCACAAGGTTGACTTAACATTTGAAAACCAATCACTGCAATTCACCATGCTAACAAAAACAAATCCATGTGGGTTTTTTTAAATCTCAATACATGCAGAAGATGCACTTGGGGGGAAAATTAGCATCCATCAAGAATTAAAACCCTCAGCAAATTATAAATAGGAAGAAACATTCCCAACCTGGTAAGGGGCATCTCCAAGAACTTACAGCAAAATATCACACTTAATGGTGAAAGATTGAATGTTCCTCTCTTGAAACTGAGGAAAATGTAAGAGTGTCTACACTGTATGTAGATCCTGGTCAGTGCAATAATAGAGGAAAATGAATTAAAAGGTATAGAGTTGGAAAGGCAGTATAATACTGCCTTTACTCACTAATTACAGAATCATTCATGTACCAAATCCTAAGGAATCTACAAAAACAAATAACTGAGTTTAGCAAGTGTGCAGGACACAAGGTTAATTTTCAAAAATCAGTTGTATTTCCTAATCCTATAAACAAAACACAAACAGAAATTAAAGGACCATTTGTAATAACATCAAAATTTGAAATAGGAATCAATCTGACAAAAGATGTGTAGATCTGTATACTGAAAACTATAAACCATTGCTGAGCAAGATTAAAGACCTAAAGAAATGAAGAGATATGCTATCCTCATGGATGGGAAGAATCAATATTATGAAAATGCCCATTTTCACCACATTGGTCTGTAAGAATCAACACCATCACAAACAAAATCCCAGCAGGGTTTGCTGTAGAAACTTCCTGATTCCAAAGCTGAGATATGTGTATCAAATCAACATGTTGTGCACCGTAAACTTACTGCAAGGTCAAATGTCAATTACATTGCAGTAGAAATAATTTAAATATGGACATGTCACATGTTCCCTCCACAGCCTCATCCCTAACCTGGACCACACGTTTTATTTGTTTTTATTTCCCCCCCCCCCTTTCCTTGTTATTTGCACTTCTGTGGGAGTCCTACTGCATCATCTTCTTCTTCTTCCCAAGCTAGTTATCTGGCTCCCTCCTTTCCCTAGAATTGTAACAGTGGTTGCCAAGAGACATGCTTGTGTGTGATTTGAAATAAAAAAGTACATCAACTTTATCAGTTTCAAAATATCTTCCCCCAGGAAAAAGAATGTTCAAAAACAGGATGGGCTGCCTTGGGAAGAAACTGAATTCGGTCCCTGGAAACATTCAAGAGAAACTGCACTGTCTTCATTCCACCCTCACTCACAAACACCTACCATGAACCAGGCGCTGGGGATACAAGCAGGAAAGAAGGCAGACATGGCCTCCTGTCCTCACGGGGCTTCACATGTAGAAGCATACCCAGGCTTACAGAGAGCAGAGGTTTATTTATTTATTTTTAATTTATCTTTTTTTTAAAAAAAAAATACATTTTATTGACTTTTTACAGAGAGGAAGAGAGAGGGATAGAGAGTTAGAAATATTGATGAGAGAGAATCATCGATCAGCTGCCTCTTGCACACCCCCTACTAAGGATGTGCCCGCAACCAAGATACATGCCCTTGACAGGAATCGAACCCGGGACCTTTAAGTCTGCAGGCTGACGCTCTATCCACTGAGCCAAACTGGTTTTGGTGAGAGCAGAGGTTTAGAGGGAGCGGCTCCACAAAAAC